CTTTATATTCATCTACTTCTCACTGAGCACCTGACAAATTCCTTGCACCATCCTAAACTCTCCTGAAGGCTCCTTGATGTGTCCATTAAAGGAACTACTAGATTTCATGTACCATCTTGGTGCATTCAGTGGTGTTTCTATCAGTGCGTATAACCTAGAGATCCAGGCATTGTTTGCATGAGATTTAGAGTTGTTTAGAAGTTACTGGTCTTTGTTTATTTTTAAATGTGCTGAGTTGTTCATCCTTAAAAGCCACCATATGTAATTTGGGGGATAGCAGCATCCTATGTGCCACTCCAAGAACAGGGCTTACACTTAAGAGAGGTCCTAGAGCCCGGCCGGGCGTGGCTCAGCCGTTGAGCGTCGACCTAGGATCCAGGCGATCGGGGTTTGATTTCCAGTCAGGGCACATGCCCGGTTGTGGGCTTGATCAATGACTCTCTCATCATTGATGTTTCTCTCTCTCTCTCTCCCTCTCCTTTCCTCTCTCTGAAATCAATAAAAATTAAAAAAAAAAAAAAGAGTCCTAGAATGTGAGGGTAGGGCACACCTTTGTTCTGAGAGCCAAACAAATCCACTGCAGTCAAAGTAAATTTTAAAACACCTCATGGCAAATATTTTCATTAGGAACACGTACTGTGACCAGAGATCACAACTACTTCATGTGCGTGCAAGTCATATTTTGAGATTGTCATGAGAAATGGAGAAGTCTATGAAAAGTACTCCAGCTTTAGGAAATAGAGCTAGTAGGGATTTATATTAAAGAGGTTGTAAGATCTGCCTGGCAGAGTGGAGAGTAATGGGTAGTGGTGAAAATCAAGGCTACCAGACAAGTAAATGGCAGGCTGCAGAATAAAAATGTGCCATTGGGACAGCAGGAAGCCATCACCAGATTCTCAAAAGCAAGATATTGAAGTTATCATAACCTCCACATGATTTAATTTGAGTGTAAAGGAGTGATCCTAGAATTCAGGTGGCAGTGGGAGGGAAAAATTGTAGTCTCGCTCAAAGATTAGGGTCCAATTTATGAATTTATATCAGGGGTTGAGGTTCAAGTGTAGCTTAAATGTAAAATGAAGAACCAGACAGTTCTACAAAATTGGATGCAGGTAACAAAGGACATAGACTGTTGTTGCAGACCAATTTCAGTTCTGTGGAAGGCAGATTTCAGTTCTGATTGAGAACTTGGAATTTGGGACTCCTGTGGGGGTGGAGTGGAAATAAGTAAGCCCTGTCTTTCCCATGTTCAGTATGAGGTGGTGATAAGGGTTTGGATTGTACAGTATTCTAACATCAGTCAGATTAGACTAATGCTCTCCGCAACAGATAAAAACGTGAGGCTGTGGGAAGGAATTTGAGTGAGTCATTCTGCCCCAAGGCTAGCCCAGAACTCCCTAGGAACCAGTTGGGAGAAAGGACTGGCAACACCCTACCTGCTGTGTGACCCTGCATTCAGTCCTTACCACTACAGAGACAAAACTGAATCCAAATGTTAAGGATGAAACGGTTGTTACAGGTATTATAGGCCAAGATTTCAGACTCAAAAATCAACAGAGATGCCTGTTGATAAAGGAGACATTGGTGGGGCTCAGGGGAGGCAAAGTGAGGGAGGCGTGGCCATCTCACCGCAGCCACCTGAGCTGGGACCTGGAGGTGAGCTGCTAGCAGAGGCCCCACCAAGTGGCACCACTTCTTGCTTAGCAGAATGCAGGAGTCTGAGTGATGGCAGGACTGGTGATTATTCCCTGCACCTCCTGGGTTTTGCCTGTTGTCTACCATAGGGGTTAGAGCTGGTGGCTCAGCAGGCAGGAAGGACTTCCCTGGGCACAGCCCTGGGCTAGAGGCCACACAGCCGGCTGCAGTTAGAAAGTCAGGTTGCCTCTGATCTCAGCTTTCCCTGTACTTCATAGGTGGTGCTCCCAGAAGGGCATAGCCAGGACCCCCTGGAGCCATGGGAGTAAAGACAGCAACGCGGCAAATATTCTGTGAGACCTCTAGGATAGCAAGGAGGGGGGAGATGAGGAAGACACACAGCAAGGTCCCTGCCCTCATGGAGTTTACATTTCTCCTGGGTGAGTAAGACCTTGGACAGATAAATTTGAAAACAAAACATAAATAAGCTGATGAGACACTGTACAGACATTGTAGTAGGTTCCCTGAAGACAGAATGGGATGATGTGTGTGTCACAGAGTGAAGTTGGAGTGGGAAGCTGCCTCATTTGGGTGGATCATACAACTTTCTGTGATCTTTGGCAATTCACCTGAGACCAAAGAATGAGCATCCCTCCACAGGAGAGTCAGTGGAAATGCAATAAGGAAAAGTCGGTATGAAGGCAGAAAGGGGAACAATTGCAAGGATCTGAGACTGAGAGGAGGTGACTAATTTATGACTGCAGTGGCCCCAGCAGGATGTGCTGGGATCCTGATCCAGGGGAAGGGTGATGGGTGAATTAAAGAAAAGACATGTCAGACTCAGCCAAAGTCAGAAAAATGGAAATCACAGCCAGTGCAAGTGGAAATTTGTTTCTTCTCAAGTTGGGAAGGTTGACTGGGGAACATGTTGGAGGACTTAGGGTTTCTAACCTCTGCTTTCTCTGCGAAGGCTGAAATGAGCTGTTTCCCTGAAAAGGAGGGTAACAGAAAGTGGTAGGGAGCTGGAAAGCAGTTATAAGAATGTAGAATGGTTGTCCTGTGGGATAAGAGGCCTAAGAGGTGGCCTAGCTGAAATAAGATCATCTCACACTGGCCCACAGAGTTTTATGACTTTCCCCCAGCAAGATAGCAGCACACACGCGCGCGCGCACGCTGTAGAAGAAGCCAGTGGTGAGGCTGCTTGGGGCTGTTCTGGGTGGTTGAGACAGGACAGACAAGATTCCTAAAGACCTGGCAGTGTGGGCAAATGATGCTGGCAATCGAAGGACAAGAAGCCAACAGACATTGACCCAAGTGGAGAGCTTTGGACACAAGAGGACCTTGGTGTAGAGAGGAAGGATGTGTTGAGGTGACCATAGGGGGAGCCAGAAGGATGTCCTAGGGTCAGAGACAGGAAGTCGGGTTTAATTCTTTCAGATACTTTCATTATGTGACAACTGCCATTCTTTCTTTCCCCTGAGTAATGAATCTGTGCTTTCATTGAAAGGGAAATGGTTGGCAGGTAGGTTGGACTTCAGTGAATTCTGATCCTATAATGAAACATTTCCTTTTAATTGTTACATATACCTTTCTCAGCCCTTTGTCTACTCCAAGTATATTTCTTCTCTTGTTCTTTGAGCAGCTGTAATGGATGTGTTCGATGCATGAGTTCTGTTAATAGGCCTCTATTGGACGCCTGTTGTCACTCTTAAATGGAACACCACAGCCATAATTGATGGAGAGTTGAGTTGCAAGCTTTTAGGGCTAATTGTAAAGTCTAAACTAAAACGTTTCCTGGAGCTGCCTTTAAATAATAATAATAATAATAATAATAACACCTTGTGTAGGTATAGTGCTTTACAACATGCAGAGCACTTTTATGTACATTGTATCATTTAATCTTTACAATAAATGAGTCTGATTGAATGCTTAGATCTCTCCTGAGTGAGAAATGGTGCTCACAGCCTGATTTAATCATGGTGAGTTGCCAAAAGTTCTCAAAACAGTAGCCATTTATTGAGCACCTTCTCTGCATAAAGCACTTTACTAAGGATACCAAAGGGTAAATTTCCAGTAAATAAATATCCAGTAAATAGTACCTATCCAAAAATGTAATCTTGCTTCCTAATTCCCTTTCCCTTCCTCATCACAGTCACTGTTTGGGAGGCTGCTTGCTAAACCATAAATTTATATAAAGATTTCCAGGAATTCAATTGTAGCAGAATTTAAGTTTTAAAACCAAGGATTCTGATGCTTAGCTAAGCTCAGTGATTCTTCAGAGAGCCATTCTATCGATTTCAACTCGTACTATCTTGAAGTTTATGTAGCTATTACATGACTCTCAGAAGTATTTTAGACATCCAGCATATTTGGAAATGCCTGAGTAGGGTATTCAGGGTATGGTTCCAATAGGGCAGCAGGACCCTTGTCCCAGAGGCTTAGTATCTATTAGAAAAGGAGACATAGTCATCTCTGGGCTCTTCGATGTGCTGAGCCTGGGAAACAAAGGACTCCCGGGAGGGAACTCTTTGCGTGCATTGGGAGGTAGAAGACAGTATATGAGCCAGGCCCAGCCCCAGAGCAGGACTAAACCTGTGTCCAGGAGCCCTTAGGGTGTCCAGGCATGTGCTCTGGGCCACTATGGCTCCTGAGAGATTTTCCAAAGAGTATGAGACCCCCAGAATAATAGGAATCTCTACTTCAAAGGCCCCTGAGCAGAGCAGTCCCTCAGAAAGCGTGATATGGCTGCACACCGTCATTCCTTTCCCATTGAGGGTTGGGTCAGGCCCTGCTGTGGCCTATCAGGTCAGCCCAGGGGCTGTTTTGCCACTGAAACAGAGGTGATCAGGGTGTCGCTTCTCCAGCCGTCTTCCTGCTCCTTGTTTGACGTCTTAATTTTATTAACTCTAGGGTTGCACTAGCCCTTATTTGGCTGTTCATATGGCCATGTGGTTTGGGAATGGGAGAGTACAAATCCAAAGCGCCTAGTATGTTTTACTAGGGTACTCATTTCCTATTATAGAAAGTTTTTCCATGATACCATCTTTTAAAATAACAACTTCTGTATCTTATAAGGGAGGATAATGTCTGGATTACCAAATTATCTCTTGGTTCTTCTGATATGGAACTTAGGCAATCACAAACCAAAGAACTCATCCTTTCTTGTGTTGGGCAGATGTGCCTAATGCTTTATTTTGACACAGACTGTGCAGCCAGTATCTGAGCATCATAAACACTCCAGAAGGGACCACAGTGAGGGCAGAGTGTGGAGCACAAGTTTGAGTGTTAAGTCTAAGTGATGTTTCCGACTAGGACTGGCAACATGCTTTAAATAATTGTGTTCTGATCATTTAGGTCTCTCTTTATAGGGCATCCTTTATGACCAAGACTGTCCAGTACCAAAACGAGCTACATAAATTCCTAATCTGGGATACAGCTGGACAAGAACGAGTAAGTCACTCTTTAATTTACTGTGTTTTTCTGAGGCCCAAACTGACGCTCCAGCTAAACCTTTGATGCCCCTGTCATTTCATGTTACTCACTTCTCTTCTGCGCGCCAGACACACATTTATTTCCGTCTGCATTAGGCTAGCCTTTTTCTTTTCAATTAGAGCCACAGAGTCCACTGATGGAGAAAGTGATAATGGGCACTGAGGGCATTTTTATACTTTTTAGTGTCTTAAAGTAAATGCTGACTAACAGGCCTGATAAAATCCCACTCAGAGCATTGTGTGTAATTTGGGGATCCATCCTCCAGCAAAGATAGAAGAGAATTAGTGGTAGAAAGGGAGAGTTAAGCACATCTCATTTATAGCTGCCTTTTAAAAGCTGAAGAGGGAACTTTACAGCATATAAAGTTTGAGATTTAAGTGAAATGGATGAGCTAACACAGTGCCTTGCAATAGGTACTTAATAAATGCCTGATGATAAAATTGCCCAAGATGGTTATATGCTTAAGGAAGAGCCTGAGCCATACGTGGTAACTGGGCTGAGGCATCACAGTACAGAGTGGGGATTGGGTGAAGCCCACCAAAGTCAGACAGGAGTGGGGAGGTGAGAGGGGGAACAGACGCCTGCCTGCTGCCTTATTTTCACTCTGGGCCCTAAGTCGGATTTCCCTGTCAAGGTGTATCTGGCAGCCACCCCATTATTCAGCTGCTGTTTAATTTTGTTTTCAAACAGTACTATCAAATAGAACATCTGATGGATGCACAGTACTATCTTAAGCTCTTAAAAGTATACCAGAAGTAATCGGGAGAAATAGTCTGTCATCACGGTCTTATCTAAGACAGCAGAGATACTGTGTGTGGTATAAAACCTGACAGAATCGTCACAGACAAATGGAGGAAAACAAAACCAGCCCTTACCATTGTCCTGGACGTAGACACCATGCATTTGTATAGATTTAATGTCTAAGTTTGTCTGTTTGCTTGCTTCTGTTTGTTTTAATGCTGGATGTCATACCTTGTGTCCATTACTCATCTGAGATCCATCCACCTAGTTTCCCATCGCCCACTCCTTGTACTTCGTGCATCTGAATGGAGCGTTTAGGACAGCTAGTCCTTTGCTAACCTTCATTCTTCCATCCTTCCCAAGTGTTGCTTCCCACAGAGCCTTTCTGAATATATCTATAGGCACTGTTCTGGTGTTCATCTTATTAGCCAAGAACTCATGTGACTCTTCCTACTAATAACATACATACCTTCTCACTGAATCCCAAGTTTCAGTTACCCCTCCCATATATTTGTTAATACAGCAACACTCTCATCATAAAGAAGCATGCTATGATATAGAGTCCATGATGCTTTGAGTCAGTATAATCAGTGAAGTAGAGCACCACTTTTTACTAGACCATAAAAAAAGAGTAACAGGGTTTATGCCTTTCCCTTACTGCTGCCATAATAGCAGAATTCTGTTCAGTTTAATTAGCTGGTCTGCCTGCCTCTTCTTTTCCCCACTTCTCATTGATTTTGCACCAGAAATAGTTGCTCTGACGTGTAAAGCTGCCTCACCCCTATCTGAAGTGCCATCTCTTAGCCGGGGGCTCACCCAGGGAATGTAAGTGATGCGGCAGGCAGGGGTCAAGAGAACTGGCCAGCAGAGCAGCTAGGAGACCTGGGAGGAGCTCCAGCCTCTCGTTGCCAGGTCTCCGTGTTTCAGAAAAGCTAATCATCTAACAGCGAATCACAAATTGTTTGAAGTGTTGTGAATGTCATCCAGGACACATCTGTGAGCTTGTTCTGATGCCACTTTGTCCTGGGCAAGGCCTCCAAGGCCGTCCTCTGCCAGAATCCTCATTTGCGCCTCCTCTAGGACCCCAGCCAATGAGCCCTATAATTTTATACCCTCACACCCATGGACTGTTGTTCCCTCTGTTTGGAATACCCCCTCCCATCTATAGCCTTGAACACTTGCCTCTCATGTCACCTCAAAGGGGGTTCTCCTACCTACCTGTCCCTGCTGTTTTCAGATAAGTACCCACAGTGCTATATGCCCATGTTGCCCAAACCTGAATCTGGAGGTTGTCTTTGACTCCATCCTTCCCCTCAACCCTCACATTTGCTCCATCAGCATATCCTCCAAATATATCTCAAACTGTTCACTTATGTCCATCTGCACTACCAGCACCATGCTCTCAGCCACCTTTAACTCTCACCCAAGTGGTCCTCCCTGCTGTCACTCTTCGCAGCTCCACCACCCTATATCACTTCTCACAGGACGCAGAGGAGTCTTTTGAAACCATAAATCAGACCTCTTATCTTCCTGCTTAATGCTCTTCACTAACTTCCCACTGCTCCCCTCCAGTAGCCAAACTCAGACCAGTGGCATGCAAAGCCTCCACAGCCTGCACTGCCTTCTCTACTCACTGCCCTCGTGGCCCATCCCTCCCTCTCACCCACGGTGTTGCAGTGCACTCACCTCTGTTCAGTTCTGCCCACCAGGCCTTTACACACCTTGAGTCTTCTGCTGGAACTTCCTCTTCCCTCCACTGGGTACATGGCCAGTTCTTACAAACCTTTTGGTTTCAGGTTAACTGTTATACCCTCAGAGTTCTTCCTAACCTAAGAGATCCCCACACCTAAGGGGATCTCAGTTCATTCTCCATCAGTGTCCTCAGTTTATTTTCCTCAGGACCCTCATTCTAAGTTGTAATTAGATACCTGTCTACTTATCTTTAGTGGCAGTCTCTCCCCCAGTCTGTAAGCTTGGAGAGCTGGGACCAGTGTCTCACTCTCTACTATATTCCCACCGCCTCACACAGTGCCTGACCTAGAGCTGATGCTCAGCTAGTGGTTCGACCAGTCATCAGATAACTCTTCAGCACATTTCTTTGTATCCTGAAGAGTTTTTGATGGCCCTCATCCATGGCATTGTCACCTGCTTCCTTACTTGTTTATCTTCTGTTAGACTGTGAGCTCCTTGGGGGCAGGGACTGTTTTCATGTCTGTGCTCTCAGCCCCTGGCACACAATGTTGATGCCAGTGGATTTATGTCACCTGATTGTCAGCCCTACTTTGGCATACAGAATGACAGATCCTCCGCCTGCTTTTGCCATGTGAGTATTGCATGCCTCAAATTATAAATTTCTGGTATTTGCATATTTTCTGTTCTCTGTAGTAACAAGATTCATTGTGGAACCAAAGTCATCATAAAATGAAAAACCTTATGGATGAACCCCATTTTCACCCTGGCAACTGTAGGGTGATGATCCAGCTGTAGTTGACTGCAAAGTGATTCATTAGGTCAGTGAAGGTGATTCTGGAGAACCTTGCAGATGTCATGTGAAGCCATCGGTGGTTGGAATCTTGTTAAATGAAGAGATGATGATACAGATATTTCAGAAGATAACAGTTTGTGTTATTGAAGAGTTGAGAGTCCTAAGGAAAACTGTTGGAGCCTTCAAATATTTTTGTAAAAACTACCACTTTTAAGTAAGACCAGGAGAGTTGAGATGAAATGGAAGCTATCTCTTTGCAGTAGCATGTAGTTTCATAAGAAGAACCAGTCAGATTACCAGTCAGCTTGGTTTCAGTGTTCATTCAGGAAACTAGCTCCTGGGTACAGTAATAAACCTAAGTTTTTTCAAGTATCAGATTAAATAAAACTTGTTCTCAAAATTTAAAATTTATATTCTCAAGACAGAGCCTCTCAGATCTTTGTGTCCCTACTTTCTATCTTTACTGACTTCATTTTAGGTGACATTTTTTCACCAGTCATCCTTCACTAATAAGGATTCATACCATAGTGCTGGGACCATGCACAAATATGCCACAAAAGTAGGAGCACTACAAACACTTGTTGCCTGTGAACATATAAAAGAAAGCTGCTTAACCAAAGTCCAGTGGATACTGCATCCAGTCCTTAAAGGTTTGTTCCTGAATCCTCATGTGGTTCTCTGATGACTCTTTCCAGAGTTGACACCAGAAAGGCGTGGGCTCATTTATTGTTACAGTAGTCATGGGAGGTACTATTCTTGGGTTTCAAATCAGGAACAAGTGTAGTAGCTTAGCATCATCAAGAGCTAAGGTCAACACTATGGCCTGTGGGCTAAGTCCGACAGCTGCCTGTTTCTGTAAAAAAAGTTTTATTGGAACACAGCTACGCACTTATTTGTTTACATATTGTCTCTAGCTACTGTCACTCTTCAGTAGGACAACTGAGTAGTTGTAACAAAGATCAAACGATCCACAAAGCTTGAAATATTTAATACCTGACCCTTTCCAGAAAAAGTGTGCTGACCCCTTATCTGGAGCAAGATTTGGAACAGAGATGTCTGGACATCCTTTGAGTCTCTATTTAAGCTGTACCTTCCTTTACACAAAAGGACATGGAAAGAGTTTCAATGTCAGTAATGGTGGAGTGGCTTGTAATAGGGTCACCCTCCCACAGACAACCATTCTATGGAAACTCTGGGCAATACATTAAAGAGCAGCTATCTGAAGGCACTGCCAGATGCAGTCAGAGACTCAAAGGGAACTGCACTGTGGGAAACCCCCGTTTATTATATAGTTTTTCCCCAGAGTGCACTCCCCAGTCCATGTGGCACAGGGTAGCTAGGACTCAAGCCCGTCTTTTTAGCTCATGGCATTTGAGGAGAGTTTAAGGCTGCTTGAGCAACCAAAAAAGGAGGCAAACCCCAGAAAAGGTAGATCTAACAAGGAAGGAAGCCCTAAAATCTGTTTATAAATTCCCTTCAAGTCTTTGACCCCAAATTGTGAATGCTCAGGGGAGACACTGAGGCCCCCAGCAGAAGGCAACAGCTAGAAAGATGACAAGACTGAGCAGATATTGGGCTGCTGCTCATCACAGGGAGTCAAGTTTGGGGTTGGAGTCCAGTCCTGCCATGTTGGAGGAGATCGGTAAACACCTAGGGCTTCCATTGAAACTTCAGAAGGACCAGGCTGCAGGAGCAAACACCATGGCCTAGGACTAAAGGCAGACCCAGACAGACCTACCGAACCCCCCAGTAAAACCAATCTCACAATGAGCAGTCAGCAATTTCACACTCCTCGGAGAAGGTAGAGATAGTTTAAGTTGTTCAAAGATTTAAAGAAAAGTAGTCTTATCTACGTTCTACAGATGGGGAAGCTTGCACAGAATGGAAACTAGTAACCAAATGGAAATGGTAAAACTGAAAACTGTAACATCGAAAATGAAAAATCCGCTGGATGGGTGACAAAAATTAGCCAATCAGAAGAACAGAGAAAAGTGGGAAAATAATGAACATATTCTCAGTACCTTAGAGATAAATCCACACAATCTAATATTTGTGTAACTGAGACCCAGAAGGGTTAGGAGGTGGGGACAGAAAAAAAGGACATTTTAAGAAATAATGGCTGATATTTCCCAAATCTGGTGAGACACATCAACTCACAAATCCAAGAAATTCAGCACATCCATAAGTACAAAGAAAACCATCTGTAGGTGCATCATAGTCAAACTGCTGAAAACCAGAATTAAAGAGGAAAAGCTTGAAAGCAGCCAGAGATAATAGACACGTTATATCCAAGGAGCAGTATGAGTGATGGCTAACATCCCACAGAAGACCGTTGAACGGCGTCTCGAAAGTGCTGAAAGCAGAGAAGTTAACCTGCCAAATTACCTTTCAAATATGGAGGCAAAGTAATGACAGTTTTAGAAAAATAAAAGCTGAGAGGATGCTGCAGCAGCAGCCCCAGAAGGTTTACAGGCTGACGGGATGATGTCAGATGGTAACTCAGACCCTCAGGAGGAAGAAGTAACCACGGGTGATGGCAAATATAAAAACCTTTTTTCCTCAACTTTTTGAAAATACTTTTGGCTATTTAATGCAAAAATTACAACAATGGATTGTATAGTTTGTAGCGTATGAGGATTTAAAACATCTGACAACAGCACATAGGACAGTGGGATAAAAAGCATTAGACTCTCGCAAGGTTCTGGTATTTTACATGGGGAGGTACATTTTATACTCTGAGTCAACTAAGGGGAGTTGTATATTATAGCTATAAGAGAAACTACTTAAAAAGTAATACAAGAAGGTCTAGATAAAAAGCCAATGGACAGATTAATATATTAAAATTAAATACTAAAAATATTCAGTTAATGCAAAAGAAGGAAGTAAAGGAAGAACAGGAGTTTTTAATGAAACAAAGATAAAGCAAATAGAAAAATGGTGGCATAATATCAGTAAGACCAAACATATCAGTAAGTACCTTAAATGTAAAGGAATTGAACGTTCCACTTAAAAGACAGAGATGGTCATTGTGGGCCGGAAGGTGAGATCGGCCACGTGCTGGTTGGAAGAGGATTGCTTTAAATAAAAACAGCTTGAAAAGAAAAAATGGAAAAGGCCATTCTGTGCCAGTCATAAGAAAAAGAAAACCGTTGTTATATCGGTGTCCGTGAAGTTGATTTGAAGAAAGAGTTATTGTCAAGGTTAAAGAGGAGCACCAGGGAACGTTCTATGTTGACAGAAAAGTTTAATACCTTGGTGGGATGCTGCTCACGTGGGTGTATGCATCCACATGTGTCATTTTATCAAACTTAAGATCTTTGCACGTCTCCATATGAATTTTACCTTCTAAACACACCTTGTAAAGATGTTGCCAGTGTAGTGCATCAGAAATGAAAGCTCATACCATACCTTTGTCCTTCCTGTTCGCTCCTGCCCCCTTCAGGCTCCCCATGGAAGTCAGCCTGTTTTTCCCACCCAACAATGCAGTTTCTTCTCTGCAGTGCTTTCTTGAACACAACCTGTGTTTTTGTTTTTTTTCCTGTAAAACAGCATATTTTATTGGGAGTTATCAGGCTTCCACCCAGAGGCAGGGTCTTTCTCAGAGCCCAGTGGAACTGCCTATATGTGAACATCGAGGTCTGGCTTTAGTTTGACATCACCTCATCCTTGACAGTTCTTACTTGTTTTTTCACCAACTCTGGCTTTTCTGCAGTGTGCAGGCACTGGGCCCCAGAGAGGAAACTACGGAAACAGACTATCTTCCCTCTTGGACTTTACAGTCATAATTTCGCTTTCTTTTGTAAAACTCAAATTAACATGGAAGTTTAAAATCCAGAAGTTAAGCTCATTGGGTGAGACGTTGCAGACTGTCATTCTGCATGTGAATTGTATTGTGCTCCAGATGGTCACGACTTCCTACCTGGGTTGGGGGGCTGGCCACCAGCACAGAGAAGAAGATGAGAGGACAGTGGTATTGCATTCTGCATGAGGTTGGGTTTCAGACTTGAGGCGTAGGACAAAGATTGAGCACAGGAAAAATTTTAGTCTTTAAACATTGGCATCATAGTCACTGAGTGAGATGCTCTAACTAGCACATCCACATGGCCAGGGAGCCTGGCAGGGCTAGTGGGAACGGAGCTTCAGTGAAACCTCACCCACTGTTCAGGAGACATGGCCACATATCAGGCTCACCCTGGAAATTATTATTCCACCCTTCCCCCCTTCCTCCCTTCCTTCCCCGTTACTCCTCCCTCCCTTCCTTCCCCATTACTCCTCCCTCCCTTCCTTCCCCATTACTCCTCCCTCCCTTCCTTCCCCATTACTCCTCCCCCCTTCCTTCCCCATTACTCCTCCCTTCCTTCCCCCTATTCCTCCCTCCTCCCTTCATTCCCCATTATTCCTCCCTCCCCCTTCCTTCCGCCATATTCCTCTCTTCCCCCTTCCTTCCCTGTTTGTCCTCCCTCCCCCCTTCCTTCCCCCATATTCC